AGTTGGTGGATGGTGATGACTAGCTGGCTTCCCTCTAATCTTACACTGCTAAATTAGGGACGGCTAGCGCAGATAGCCCTCGTGTAGCTTTACGCGAAATTCATAACAAACCCAAATCAGAGACGTGTAAAAAAAGCATTTCGGATTTATCTTTTCTTCCCAACAAATCAATGCCCAAAAGGTCTTTCTTACAATACTAGAACTCATTATTTGGGACATACATTGAGAGACACAAGATTCTCTGAAACGCTATGTATATACACATTATAATACTTTAAAAGTTAAGATTTAAATGCCGAAAGCTGACGAAACATTTGAGACCATTAGGCTTAAAATTCGTGATAAGAAATTACTTTAGCTGCAAAAGTATATTTTGTTTTGAACACTTCATTTGTTCAATGACTTATCTACTATATAAAGACGAAAAGCTGTCCGTCTGTCACGGCGATATCTCGGTTGCAATACCGATCGACATACAACATGCACGAAACAACTGTGCTTTCTACCGCAACAAGCAAGTTTTTCTTTTTAAAGTTCTTCCAGCCATATATATATAAAACTGACGATGCGCTACTTTGGACATATAATTAGAATTGAGTGTAAGTTGGTGGAGATTGTGATGAGTAATAAAATCGAATCGAGTATACACGCGCCACATGCTTGGTATTGCAGGCGCACAAAAATCATAATCATTGGCTGAAATTCCCCATTAACTTTGCTTGGTTGTCAAGGAGACACATTGACATAATATCACAAATTTTGTTCAAACGGAATAATACCCCGCATGTTTTACCCGCAGCACATTTGAAAATGCCGAAATTAAAATGCGCTTCTTCAGCTGGCTAACAAAGCCAAGACCAAGAAGACAGTCCAAAGTAAAGATCCTCAAATTAATAATAAAATTAACTGCCTTTAATATCACAACTAATAGTTTGTATGGTAACACAGTTGACCAATTAGGAACGTGTCTTTGAGAATCAGTTTTTTCGCATATTTCAATCTATAAGGATTTATCAAGAAGAATGTTTGAACATACTTAGAAATATACAGAAGTCAAAATGCTAATCAAGCAATACTTAAAGGACATGACCAAGTGTACATAAAAAAATGTTTTCAGGAAACAATAGAAATAGAATAGACAATATCCATACATATAGTGTTACTAGATTAAAATTAATTTTTAGAAGACATGTTCATAAAACATTTATCTAGATATAATTTTGAGAAGAAAAGTAATTATTATTTCCCGTCATATGACGGGCATTCAGCTTGTGAGGGGTAAAAGATAAACATAAAATGCTATTTTTTACACAACTTTGATTTTGAATCTGCAATGGACAAATTAAGAGGAATATGAAAAACAACAACAATTGTAGTTAAGTAATCTTTATCATTAATTTTAAATGTATTAGTTCCTAATGCTTCACCAGTTGTTAACGTTTCAACCGAAACCCATTATATAACGTTATAGTTGAAATTTCAGACAAAGACCAATGTAGTACAATTAATGTATAGTTGATACGGTTATTGTTAGAATAAATACCTCATATATAGTTGAAATTAATACTGTTTAACAAATCTAAAGTATAGTTGATATTATTGTTACCTGTATTATTGTTAAAATAACCCCAAAGTATATAGTTCATACAGTTATACAGAGTAGAAGTTAATTTCATTATTATTCAATAAACCTAAAGTACAGTGTCGTTCAAATAAAATCGAACTATATTTGATACTTAATTATACTTGTCATAGGACATTACTATTATTATTATAATACTTTAACACCATATTCTTTATTCAGTCCCTTAGGGTTTTTCATGAAAAACAAGAATGTATGATAGTACTTTAACAACACTATGTCCGCCATATTCATTGACAACGGAGCGTTTCGCGCACTACAGAGCTCATCAGTAGTGGTCGGAACACTATTTATATAAGCCATTTATTACAACTACAATTATTATGATGTGACTCTTCTTTAATTTTGTTTTATTCAGTCCCTTATGGTTTATCCGAGAAGAACAAGACTGTATAATAGTGTTAAAAACTCTTATTGTTGTAAAAAATGGCCAATATAAATATTGTTCCGGCTATTATTATGATTATTTGTGAATTTTCAATTTTTCACCAATACGTATAATTTCAGTGAAGAAAGAATCTATGAATAACGTAAAGGCCTAATCTATTCTTTGATTCGCTACAGACTAGTTTCACCGAATTCACGACTCGTCAGTACTGCTTGAGAGAACCAAATAAATGCATTAGGTCTACATTGTAGTGGAATGTATATATGGATATGTACTATTACACATTATTCTACTTGAAAAACTTTAAGGGACTGAATTAAGAATAGGCCTACCACTAATGTCTTATGACAAGTATAATTAATTATAGTCATGCTTCACCAGCTTCGTAAAGAGGTTCACACCACAACAGTTATATTTGATAATATTGTTACACATAAAGTATACAGTTGACATCGGTTTTGTTTAACAAATCTGAATATTACATTTGGTAACATTGTTGTATTAACAAATTCGAAAAGCAAATGATATTTTTATTGTTAAAATAAACCCGAAGTAGTTGATATCGTTATTTTTTAACGATCCAGGAATATAGTTGTTACTCTTCTTGTTAAAAGTAAGTCGTAGCATCCATACTATTATTGTTAAAGGAACTCTTAAAAGAAACATGACACCTTGAAATAGACTTGTAGTACAGTTTTAATCCATTAAATGGTTGTTGGGATGACTTTAGATCCAGCTTTAGATGTGTTAAATATTCTTTATTGAACTTTTCCACGGTTGAATACATTTTTTATTATGATCACAATTGTTATATTGCGAAGAGCTTTTCTAAGCTTATATAAATAGTGATCTGACATATAGCTAAGCCAAGCTAATCAGAGATGTTCCGGAAATATTACTGTACTATTTTAACCTATAGTTAGCTATGTTATGTTAAATGTATGTAAATTGAGAATGATAATTCCCGATTTTTTCTTCTCTTCTCGTCAAATCTTAGATTATTTTCATGCATTGTTTTAGTAAGCGTTAACTCTACTCCTAAAACTGAAATTGCAGCAAGCTGAAATAAATATTCAACGAAAGTTCGTATCCTCTAAAATCATTAAGTATTTTTATTCCAAATAGTGAAGTAAAAGTTTCAACATTTTTACTGCCTTTGGCGGAGAACATCACAAATGAAAGCTATTGAATGTTGTCTCCATTAAATGATGTATTCCTAACATTCTTCTATATGATAAAATATTAACACTCAAGATATTGGGACCGTGGGTGCTTTACAGGAGTGACAGTCAAATCTCACTATTCGTTTAGAGTGGGTGGTGTTAATTAACTGCCTGCCCACTAGTCTATCAGCTCAAAATGAAAGCCGTTTTACGCATATAGCCGCCTGTGTGTAGCTTTTCGTGGAAACCTGAAACAAGAAAAAAACAATTTAGCAAAAGTAAGATATCTAAGTTCCAACAATTGTTATAAGTTAATAAGAATATCATTATCAGCAGTATATTAATTATTAACACCAAGTGGGCGGAACGGCGCACTTAATGCTTTTTTTTATTGAATTGTTAACAAATCCTAGCCTTACACTGTGCCGAAGTACAATTTTTATAACTGTTCATTTTAACACAGTAACTCTGTTCTCATGTTGTTAATAAAGTATAATAGTTATTGATAAAATAGCTAAGTGAAATTATTTCTAGTCTGTAACTTGACAAAGCAGTTGAAGCCAATAATCGTGTACTTTTTGTGCAGGGTTTTAGGAAGTATTTTTAGTTGTAAGTAAACTAATTTTATAAAACATTGCTTGAAAAATGTATGCTAGTTCCTCATCACTTTCAGTATATGTTCCAACTCCCTTGGAATAATAAACATTTGTAACAAGGTAAACAGTTAATACAGCGGAACAATAAACATTTATAACAAGGTAAACAGTTAATACAGCGAAACAACAAACATTTGTAACAAGGTCAACAGTTAATACAGCGGAACAATAAACATTTGTAACAAGGTAAACAGCTAATACAGCGGAACAATAAACATTTATAACAAGGTAAACAATTAATACAGCGGAACAATAAACATTTGTAACAAGGTAAACAGCTAATACAGCGGAACAATAAACATTTATAACAAGGTAAACAGCTAATACAGTGGAACAATAAACATTTATAACAAGGTAAACAGCTAATACAGCGGAACAATAAACATTTATAACAAGGTAAACAATTAATACATCGGCTAGAGTTTATTTCAAAATGGTTCGTCATTTCCGATTATGTGATCCACTGGCCAGTTCTGGAGTGTCACTGATAAAAATTATAATCATTAATAAATTTGAATGACTACAATACTGTAACATATTAGATTGCACGTACATCATTGAAAAATGTCGTCCTGAATATTTAACAAACAATGTGAATACTACAAAAATAATATCCAGTGCAGCCCCTCCAGTAGTTCACCGTTAAGTTTGAAGATTTACGACGTTAAAATTCGGGTTTTGATACCCGTGGTGGACAGAGCACAGATAGCCCACTGTGTAAATTTGTGCTTAACCACAACTAACCAAATATCCAGGGCAATGAAAGTGAGCTAAAATTAAGATGAATAGTATATTAAGTACATTGACGAAATGATATTTATAATATCACATACAAAAATAAAACCCATAAAACAGTAGTTTTATTTAAAGCCAATTTGGAGAAAGAAATGGAAGAAACTTATATATATAATGTGGGGTAAATAGGGAGAAAATAATCAGATTATACTACCCAGGGGCACAAATGGAGGATATAACTGACAGAGCAGGAGATATAATAAAGGGGAGCTAGCAGAGATACAGTTTTTGTGGTGCATGTCGAGGCTAATGATGTGGGGGAAAGGTAGGTCAGAGGAGCTAATTAATAAGTACGAGAGGTTGATAAAGGCATTTAAAGAAAAATGCCATAACTAAATTTTGTCAGATATACTGATCAGAATTAACTGTGGGGATGAAGTTATAAGTAAGTCACAAGGGCTAAATGCTAGGCTTAGATTAGTATGTAAGAATGAGCAGATTGGCTGTTTGGACATGTGGGATCAGTTCAGTGGAAGAAAGGAGCTTTTTAAAATGGACGGTTTACATTTAAATAGGGTTGGAGCTGGCTTGTTTGCTAAGGCTGTTAACTCAACCGTAATGAAAGTTTTATACTAGGACTAGACAGTGGTGAGGGCCAGGAAAAAACTGAATGCAAAAAGAATAAGAAGGATAGAAAAGTTTAGCATAGGAAATGAGCATAGAACTAGATATAAGGGTAGGCTTAATTGTTACTGTTGTAATACTAGAAGTGTAAGAAATAAAACAGATGACTTTAGAGCACTGGTAGGAATGGAGGATTTTGATATAATGGGAATAACTGAAACCTGGTTAAATGTAGATGATTTTGATCAAAGAAATATCTTTGAAATACAGGGTTATAGGTTATTTAATAGGGATAGAGTACTAAAGAGGGGGAGGAGTGGCTACATATATAAAATATGAGTTACATCTTGTTGAAGTTGAGGATGTCAAAGATAATAGCAAGGAGATTGAATCCATTTGTGTTTCTATTAGTGGATATAAAGGGAAAAGGCTTTTAGTGAGAATTCGTTAGAGAGACCAACAAATAATAATGATGAAATTAGTGAGAAACTTTACAATGAGATTAAGATTTCAACTGTTAATGAAGTCATAATTATGGGTGATTTTAATTTTAGACATATAGATTGGGAAATGCTAGAGTCAAACCGTGAGGGAGAAAGGTTTTGGAAACTCCTCAAGATGGCTTTCTTCACCACTTAGTCAAAGAGCCTACTAGAAACAATGCTATTTTAGATTTATTGTTAACTTCAAATATAGAAATGATCGAGAGGGTGGAAATTGGAGAACATCTGGGTGCAAGTGATCATTGCTCTATTAAGTTCTGTGTTTAGTTGCATATGGAAATAAGGAATAATGATATTTTGGTTACACATTTCAAAAAAGCAAATTTTGAAGGGATGCAACAATAACTGTGTGTTATGAATTGGGCAGCTGAGTTATTTGGAGACACTGATCAGATGCTGAAAATTTTTAAAGATAAATTTTGAAATATTCAACGAAAACATTCCTTATAGATAGAACGAAAAGGATAGCTGCAAGTAAAAAATCAGGTTGGCTCACAAAGAATATGACATAAAATTAAAGAAAAATATCATAAATTTATGAAATTTAAATTGACCGGTATGACAGGAGATCTAGAAGATTATAGAAGATCAAGAAAGCTAGTGAAAGAAGAAATTAGGACATTAAAAATGATGTATGAGAAAAGGTTGGCTGAAAATGTAAAAATTAACAATAAGAATTTCTTTAAAATGTTAGGATGGGAGTAGGACCTTTGAGGGATGATAAGTGATGGTTCGTATATGATGATTATGAGCTGGCTGGGTTAATAAAATTTGCTTTTTCTTCAGTTTTTACTAGCAAATATTTAAGCAGTATTCCACATCTTGAACAGTTGTCAGATGGAAACAAGATCGAACTAGATGACTGCATTAATTCTGAGTCGGTTGAGAAAAAATTGGCAAGTTTAAAGAACGATAAGGCTCATGGGCCAGATAATATTTTCCCAAGGGTTTTCAAGGTTAAAGATTGAATATGTGAGCCACTTGCTACTATTTGTTGTCAGTCCTTGAATAGTAGGAAGGTACCAGAAGATTAGAAGTTAGCTAAGGGAGGTGATAAGCATTGTCCCAGTAATTATAGACCCATTAGTCTTACACCAGTTGTAGTGAAAGGTTTGGAAAACCTGATGAAAGATGCTTTGCACAGTCAATTAACAAAGTTAGGATTTTAATGGACAATCAACATGATTTCAATAAGGGAAAATTTTGCTTTACAAATCTTTTAACATTCTTTGAAAAGGTTATTGCTAATAGATGAGAGTAAGAGTGTAGATTTAGTGTATCTGAATTTTCAGAAAGCATTTGACAAGGTGCCACATAAAAAGCTTGTAAAAATTATCTTTATAGGTGTGAGGGATAAGTTAGCTAATTGGAGAGAAGAATGGCTGGATGGAAGAAAGCAGATGGTTGTTATAAATGGAGTTCAATCAAAATGGATTAATCTCACAAGTGGGATACCTCATGGCTTAATCTTGCTCTTTTGGATTTACATCAATGGCATAGATAAAGGAATGGTTAATAAATTACTTAAATTTTCAGATGATATTAAGGTCTTGGGTGTTGATAATTATAAAGAGGATACTGCTGATTTGCAAAAGGATTTAGATCATTTAGTGAGTTGAGCAAATAAATGGCAAATGGGTTTTAAGTATAGTAAATGCAAGATAATGTATGTGGGTTATCATAATTTGAATTATAAGTGTAATTTAGATGGGAATAACCGTAACAGTGTTATGAAGGAAAGGGATACTGGTTTAATAGTCGACCAGTCTCTAAAGCCATCCAAACAGTGTGCTGTTGCTAGTGCATGGGCAAATACGATTTTAGGTTGTATCTAAAGAAATATTTAATACAAGTCTAAAGAGGTTATAATTTTATTATATAGGTGACTGATTAGGCCACATTTAGAATACTGTGTTCAGTCTTGGACTACTTACCTTAGGAAAGACATTGAATTGTTGGAAAGGGTTCAGAGAAGGGTTACTTGAATGGTGTCTTGGATGGAGGGGTTGTCATTCGAGGAGAGGTTGAAATCTCACAAATTGATTTCTCTTGAACAAAGAAGAGTTAGGAGGGGATCTGATTGAGGTGTTTAAGATTGTAAAGGGAATTGATAGTGTTGATACATCTTCTTTTTTCATATTTAACAGTGGGAATAGTAGGACTAGAGGACACAAGAATACATTTTGGCAGGGTAGGAGTCATCTTCAGCTAAGACAGTTTCATTTTTCTAACAGGGTGGTTGGCCTTTGGATTGGGTCGCCTTCTGATGTTGTGGAGGCAGTAAATTTAAGTGGCTTTAAGAGAAAGCCTGATAAATATATGAATTATAAGCACTGGCTTTAAGATTTTTCTTTTTTCTTTTAATTTACTTATTAATAGTTTAGTATAGAGCATGGAAGAGCCGAGATGGACCAATAGGTCCCATGTTGTCCCAAAATGTTATGTTATATTTCTATATCTATTCGACATTTGATTTCTTTGAAGAGTAATTTTTGGAGAAAGTAAAAAGTGGACCAACTTAGTATAGAATAAACTAAACAAAGTATATTCTTATATATTTGTATAGTTACAACAGTACCGTTTCCACTCTTATATTTTTCAAATTACTAGCTTGTTTTGATATCGCCCCCCACCAATGATTCCACGTATTGAATTATATTAAGGAATTTCACCTATTTTTTTTTTACCTATTTCACTACTCAACTTAAAAAATATCGTGTACAATTACTCATTCAATATCTAACTCAGTCGCTATTTTTTATAAAATCCTGTTTTGTTTTTGTTATTATCAAAGCAATTATTTGCTTATCCGCAATATCAGAAAGTTAATATTATGTATTACTTTGATTATTTTGAGCCGTTGTAACAAACCGAGCATTCGACACATGGAATTAAACTTCACTTCTGTTTGGCGACTGACATCCTTCCCGATTGACCCCTCTTTCTCATCACTAAGGTTTTAAAATTGAAATTGTTGCCTAACTCAAACTGATAATGTTAAATAATTACGAGATAAATTAATTTTCAATAGATATTAATCCTGAGAGAAAATCATTAAAGTAATTAATCTTTTGTGTCTTGTATAATAAATATTGTTAATTAGTATTGATTGGTTGGAATTATCGCTAAAATTATTTTCAACATGTGATCTTTAAGTATCTAGTATGTCAAGGTCACTTTATTATTTCTAAGTACTAATTCGTTGTTCGTTTGTTATTAAAGACAAAGCTACATAGTGAGCTATTTGTGCTGTGCCAACCACGGGGATCGAAACTCGGTTTTTAGCGTTATAAGTCCAGATATTTACCGCTGGACTACTGGAGTGCTAGTAATTCGTACTCTGTGGTTTGTGACACAGTATACCGGATCTGGAAGGGCTTACTTAAAAAAAAAGAGTTCATCTCAACTTATACTTGAATTTTGTTGATGAAAGTACAGGATGATTATTCAATTATCATTGAACTATTTATGTAGGATTTTACAGTTATTATTTAATAATAAATATGGTGGTGTTTTTGTTGACAAATACTGTTACTTAGACTTCATAAAGGACATCCTTTTAGTTGCATTATTAATAATTTTAAAGTTAACTATCATGCCCATTATTAGTTTAAGACAGTGAGTGCCAGTGGAGTTTCGAATATTGTGGGCCACACTCTGATCCCTATTAGATCTTCCTTTCTATTTGTTATACCTTTTGTAGTTTGCCAACAATTGGTGTACAGTACATTGTTGGCGCAATTGCCTTTCCATGTAAATTCGATTTTGTTGTATATATATATTTATGCATCAATGTTGTGATATTGTGCTAAATATTTGCTTATATGCTTTTGATACAGGTACAGTAAGTTCATTTCAAATCATTGTATGTAACCCCATCAGGACCTGATGCCGTGTTGGGAGAGCGCTTAAGAGTTACCTTAATGCAGTCCATTGCGACTGAGCATTCGCCTTCAACCCCTGCACAGTTTCTTTTACACCTGTGTAGAAATTATTGCGTTTCTTTATGTTTGCGTGGTCTGACTGTTCAAGGAATACTTTATCCTTTTCTTCATCCATTGTCACCATTACACCATTTGAAAGCTGAAAATGTGGGACGGTCTTCGCTTTCGCTTATCAGTTCCTTTTTCTGTGCAAATTCCAAAATTGTTTGTGTGATTTGTCATTGGCAGCCTCTCAGCAGAACTTCTCAAAAATCAATCAGCCTCTTCTTCTTCTTCTTTTTTTGGCATGGACTCTTTCTTTTTCCTCTCGAGCTTTATTTGTTCTTCCTGGGTGAAGATGGTTCTTTTCCGAGCCCTTTGTTGTTGCCCTACGTTTTTCAACCTATGCCTTTTTGACCTCACTTGACCACCAATGGGGTTGGTCAAACATTTTTCTTTGGACTATCGCTTTTTTTCTCGAACCTTTTTTCACAGTGAGTTTACGATGCCATGAGCATTTGTTAGATACTTGAAAGTTCCTTCTCTCTTTTGCTTCTAGCACCACGTACCTTACGAATAAGAAGGCTGCAGGGGTAGTGGTCACTTCTGTGATCCCCTATAATATTCCACGATGACCTGAAATTACTTAGTGATGAAGAACTACAGGAACTCACGGAGCTATATAACCAGAGCTTACAGGATGGTGTTATTCCAGACGACTGACATCATAGCTATTCGGTTCCAATGCCCAAGCCAAATACAGACCACAAGGAGATGAGTGGGTATTGTTTGTTTGTTAGGAAACTGTGGCCGATGGTTCTGTCCTGTATTATGAAGTGGAAGTTGTTCAACAATATACGTGCTATTTATGTGTTGAATGGTGTAAGTGTAAGGGGAATGTGTTTATGATCAATGGAAGTAGGAGTGTGTTGGTTTAATCGAGGTTGGACGCGTGTCTTGTGTCTTCGGAAGTTTTAAATTGTTTTAAACTGACATGAGTTAAACTCGGACGTTTATTGTTAGTATGTAGATTATGATTAATGTAATGAAAAAGAAAAGTAGGGTAGCCACGTTTTTCGAAACAGGTGGAGCATGTTGATATATTTACTATTATAATCTTCGTCGTTACTACAGAGCCTATGTATTCTGGTGAATTGTGGTTTGGGAATGTTTCTTTTGATGTATGGAGAATGACTCGAGGGAAAATGTAAGTAGCTATGTATGTTCGTCGGGTTGTAATGTACAGATGTTGCGAGGTTGCCACCATCAGTCACAGAAATATTTATTTAAAGTAATGAAATTGTTTGGTGGGAAGTATAAGACGTGTATTGGAGTGATGGGAGAAAGGATTTAACGAACTGAAGAAAATAAATCGAGTTCATCATTAGTGCATATAGCTACATCGAAAACATCATCAATACATCTGTAATATAAGGCAGGGAGGGCACCTGTGTAACTATGAAATATACAATCTTTAATGTAACCAACAAAGATGTTAACGTAGGAGGGACCCATTTTGGTTCCCATGGCTACATCTTTAACTTCTTTGTAGAACTTGTTGTCAAAAGAAAAGATATTTAACGATAAAACTAGTTCAACTAATCTGACTAAGATTTCAACAGGTGGGTCCAGGGTATCCCTTTTGTCAAGGTAGTGTTTTAGGGACTTCAGTCCATCTGCTTGTGGAATGGAAGTGTACAATGATGTTATGTCAACAGTGAATAGAATAATAGAATTTGATTTAGAATTAAAATTCGCAATTTTTTGTAGGCATCGTTGGTGTATTGAATGTAAGTTTGGAGTTGATGAACGAGCGAGGTTAGGATGATATCAAGGTAACAAGAGATTTACTCAGTAGGACAGCTACATGTTGAAACCATGGATCTACCAGGATGGTCTGGCTTATGTATCTTAGGAAGAAGATACGATACAGAAAGCCTAGGTTATTTAATAAGTAAATTTTTAGCTTCTAGTGGAAGCTTATTATTTCCCATTATTACTTCTATAGTGGCGCAGTCTTTTCATATTCATCAAGAGGATTATTATTCTAGATAGCACGGGAGGACTGGTCTGATAATTGTCGGTGATCTTCTGAAGATAAGGTCCTTTCTGCTCCTCCTTTGCCAGCTTTTTAAATTAGTGTTGTCGTGGGAACGAATATTATGTAAAAATGTTTCTTCGTTTTTAATTAGGTTTCTAACAGATGTCACAGTTTGAAATTTCAAGTTGTAAATTTCCTTTTGACACTTCCCTATGTAGTAATCGAGAGGAAGAAATTTTCCTGGTTGGAGTGTCCACGAGTTGGTTTGTTTCTGTTAGCTCGTACAGTCAATGACGATAATAGCACAATTCAAATAATAAAATCTCTCTTTTTAAACAAAATGTCCTTAATGTATCACGCATCAAACCAATAGGGAATTTCATTAGTCTGTTCTTTATCATGTGAAGAGAGGTAGTTGAATTTAAGTTTAAAACCCTGAGGAGTTAACCTTAAAGTTGAACAAATACGTAGAGAAGAAGTGTGGCTGCAATGTGCCTGGTTTTTAGATAAAGTAGCCTTGAAGAGGAGGAGACCAGAACTAAACAGTTGAGTGGGTTGTGATGAAGGTATAACTTACCATTTCATTACGAAGGCTGTTGTATGTTCTCTTACAAAGAGACATAATGTTTAAATGGTCGTATAAAAAGTCAGTGAATATATAAGTAGAAAGTAGGTGATAACATAAAGATATTAGAGTCTTGGAGATAAATCACCTTAAAACAAAATTATAACCAAATACAAACATATTCTTTTTAATGTGATTTACCTCCAGAAGTCTAGTTTCTTTATTTTATCACCTTCATATTTTTCTACTTATTTATTCTTGAGAAGATAGTCGCTCGAAATCTGGAATACGATCTGGAAAGACAGAAATGTTGCCTCCAACACTGGAAAGCTATGGACCCAGAAACAAATACTTGGATGAGTGATTCAATCCTGTTTATGACACTTGCAAGGTTTTCCAACAGAGTACTGAAACTCTGGCTGTTAATCTGAATCTGGAAGACGCTTACAACAGAGTACAATATGATGTCATAATGACTGAACTTTTCACTCTGGATGTAGATGCCACGATTATAAAATAAATTGGGGCAGTGCTGCTCAAACAAGGAATATTTCTTCTAGTTGGAACATAAGCATCTCCGCTACAAATTATTACACCAAGCTTTCCACAGGAATCACTTTTGTCACATTTATTATTCAATGTGTATAGTGCAGAAATAACTAAGATTCAGAACAACGGATTGGGCAGAACCTTGTCCTTTGCTGATAATGTATTAGCATATCGAAAGGGGCGATAAAGAGTACAGATTGCCAGTGAGGTTACAGAAAGAAGTTGAAAGAATAGTGTAATGGTGTGCGGATAACAAAACAAGGCTTCAGTTTTATGGTGATTCTTGGACAACAAACGCGTAAAAGCAAACATGTCAGAAATAAAAATCCATGTTCAACAAATCCTGAGAGAAGCAAGTCTCAGATACCTTGGCATCACTTTTGACAGAATATTTTCTCTTAAGAAACACGTTGAGTGACAGAGAGGGCTCAAAGAGTGTTAACTGCTTCCAAAGTAATGGTTGCCACGGACATAGAACAGAAACTTCTACTCTAACCATATCAGAGCATCATCCTGTCGGTGGTTGCCTATGAGCTGGGACTTTTGCTGCCTTCCAAAACACAGATGAACAGACTTGAGACCACTCAGAACCAGGCCATGAGAACGATACTTGGATGCACTAAGAACACGTCCGCAACAGCAATGAGGTACCTCTTGGGACTCTTAACCATGTCGGAATGGCAAACTTCTACACAAGTGAAGACATATTTCAGAGTGAGAGAAGACGAAGATCATCATCTTCATTCAGTTTTAAGTCAAGGCAAATGTGGTAGATTTCGAAGAAGATAATTGTGGATGGCACCAGCTGAAAGTTTTTTCAGCAGAAGTCTGTAAGTTGGAGGACATCAGGAAAGTCCCAGATTGAATGGAAATGCTACCATGCACGGAGAAGAACACAGAGGTGGCTAGAACGCTCGGCAGGAAATGTCGAGAGTGGGTTGCCAATCACTGATGCAGACGTGAAGTCTAGCATTGATCGAGTGTCCAAACCAGGAGATGGAGTGATATATTCAGATGAATCCATCTGTCGTAGACAATGGTCAGGATGGACTGACACAGTACAATTGAAAGGGGAAACAGTTCAAGAAAATAGCGAGGCCATATAATACGACAACATTTACCATGAAAATGGAGATCATAGCCACTGTCCATTGCTTTATATGGTTAGAGGGCAAGGCAGTTACACATGTACTATTGGTAACAGACTCTAAAAGCATGCCGTAGAAAATACTAGCTGGATCACTCCATGCAGAATGGATAAAGTCGATCTCTAAAACGAGGTTCAAAAGCTAACATAGGTGTTTTGTCCTGACCATGTCGGAGTGAAAGGGAATGAAAGATCTGGTTGGCGCTGCAGCTGCCAGAGTTGCCTGGACCCCCAACAAAAATGATGTGATTAGTGCAATCACGGACAAATAACATGAAAGAGACACACAAAAAAGAGTAACCCCACACTCTGAGCCATTTGCTTGAGAATGAAGTCAAATAGGGAGACGCAGCAGACAAAGCGTTATGATGGGGCGAGCAAGCAACCAGCTTGTAATAGAAACCACTAACCAAATACACACTGCGTTGGATGCTGGGGAGGAGGACAGAGCAGACATGGGGGTGCCCCACAATGCAGTAATGCTGGTCCCATCAATAAATAAACTAAGTTAATGATCTTCGTTAGTATGTAGTTATTGCGAAATATCGTTTTAACGGCCGTCCTCAAATCACAAAAAGAAAAACTTGAAGTATTTAACGAAAATTATCCTTGACAAAACGATAAGTTGTCATATTTCTGGAACATTCTAAAACCGTTAAGCCTAGCGTTCATTCTTTATTGTCAGCGAAATGTTTTCTTTTGTTATATTTTCTTTTGATAGGGAAATTTCAACGTTGCGTAACACTTCAAGAAAACCAACATAAACGACAAGTGGCACCAAATATTGCATATTTCGTCGTTCTAATTTCCTGTTAAAACATACATGATGTGAAATATTTATTTAAATGTATTTTCTTTGATAGAAATGACCTCGATATTGTGTTTAACATTAATCAAGTATGAAGTTATTGCTGTAATAATCTGTAATAGGTTTTCTGTTTCAAATATTTTTTTCCCTTCCATCAATAATTGAAACGGAAATTGTATGCCCACGAGTTTCAAACCATCAACAATACTTATTTTGTTTACAGAAAAAAATACTTAACGGATTTGGTTTTATTTGGACGTAACTTGAAGGTTTATGTTAAAACATTTTGATGCATTACAGACTTTTCATAATAAGTTGCTGTTTAAAAGACGTTTCACATTTCACTGTAACATATAAGTTAATATTAAAGTTCCTGGCGTTCCTTATTGGTTTTGGTAACCAAGAGCTGTTTAACAAAAATGTTTAATTTGGGCGTAACATTAAAGTTTATATTGAAATAGTTGATAGTCATGTGTTCAATTTAGACTGAAAGCATTGACCATGTATATTTTTCACATTCCAATTAAGTCGTCGGCGTGTGTGCGCGTGTTATGGCGCATTTTAGTAATTAGATATTGCTCTTGAAACTTCAGACATGTCGGTGACTATTAAGACTCTAAGCTGTCGGCTTTGATTTCAGCATGAAAACGACGCAAGCAAGCAAGGAAATGAATGTAATTGGAAAATGGTGTTGCTAAGCAGCCGCCTACCTGACACGTAGATAAACAATATCTTTCAGAAATGTCTTGCATTATTATTTTGCTACATTTTTACATAATTCTAATGTAACAGCCACTGAAATATTCGTCCTAGAAAGCTCATTACTTCGACAACTGCAGTGAAACGTACCACACATAACACTATACTTGATCAATTATAGCTTATTATCAAGAGATTAGATCAAAATTCCTCAACATTTAAATCACCTTTTAAAACTCCTTAAAATATAGATAAGCGTATCGGATTGTTTGTATTTTAAATTTCTATGTTTTGGCTGCCGGAATGAGAAAGTAGCCATTGTTTTATTTATTGAACATCAATTTTTAACTGATATGGCTAGATACCTGCAGCAATAGATAACACTTTACAAAACAAGTATTTATAAAATCTGCTATGGTTTTGTTCATTAACTGGTTTGCTCTAGTTCATGGTTCTTAATTATATAAAGTAAATAAAGTGTTACGTGTGTGAAAATATTATGAACAGCAACTTCCTCTATGTCAATTATTTTTGTCTTGAACGCGCCAATAAGAAACATTTTTCGAGACTGTTTACTTTAATAAGCAGAGATTTAGTTGATCATGATAGTTCTTGCTTCGTGACCTATAGATTCTTCAACTAAGTAAATGCCATTATTTTATCACTTTCGTTTGTTGTTTTTTTTCATGCGCTTTCATTTTCTCAGGGATATTTAATAAGAAAAGCGATATTTTATTTTTCTATGACGAATTCGCGAAATATACCTAACAGTCATGTGCAGCCATCTAGTGGTTATTCAAGTAAACATGTTACATTTTTTAAATATTATTATAAATATACATAAATAAACCCGTACATTTATAAACCGAAGGAATAACAAAACAGGTATTTACTTCTGGATAAAAAGCTTAGAATAGAGTATGAAATTTCTCTTTCTAGCCTTGACTTTAATTTATTCGAAATTTTGCTTCTTACTTTTATCTTTTTTGTAGTAAGTCTTATTTTGTCAATCTTGTTAACTTGAAACTAAACTAATAGTAGAATTTATATTTTTTTGGCCCGTTTGTAATGTTCAATGTTAAAACTCACAATTTAACAAAAAACAACGATTATTTTATACACAATTCTATAAAAATGAGATTGTTTCCAGTCTCCAAATTACTAAAATACAATAACTTACTGTACAGGATAAAAAGTGGTAAAAAATCCGATGAGACTGGAAAACAATCTCATACATTCTACATGTTAGGACGTATACTACTGCGTCATCCTCAAGAGGGTAATGTTTTGCAAAAATAACACTTATTTATACAATTATCAAATCACCAATTTACATATTAAAGAATTTCGCGCCATCTACTGACAACATTTCCTACAGGTCCATCATCCTTATTCAATAATTTAATATTACTTATTTTACATTTAATTATCTCAGTAGATTCACGTATATTCATACTAATTAAATTAATGTTGTACTAAAATATCACTTTTTTCCCATTGAATTATGTGTTTAGTTTCATTAATATGTTCTGCTAAAGGTGAAATAGTGGTATTATTACTTTTAATATTTCTTTTGTGTTCATTCATTCTGAATTTTAAATTTCTTCTAGTTTGTCCTATATATACTGTTTTACATTCACATAATAGTTTATATATACCAAATGAAAACAATCTAATTTTTATAATTGTGTATAAAATAATCATTGATTTAAAAGATTGTTAGTTTTT